TTTAAAAAAAAAAAAAAAAAAAAAAAAAACTTATCAACAAATCGGTTACAGCACAGTAAATTTTTAAAACAGGAAACAGTGCAATGTTGCGCCGATGTTACAAGAGACTTGATTTGGTAAATTTCTCAAATACGCTTCTGTGTATGATCCAGCTGTCCAGTTTTTCCTTGCTTCTGGTTCACTTCCACCTTCGGTATGAGGTAGAATGTCTTTCTGCATTATTACATTCCCTCGAATGCATGCAAATGGTGGTATTATGACAGATTAGAACTAACTTTCAGAATGCTTACCTAGTAGCTACTGCTCAAATTGAAACTGTCATAACTATCAGCTTGTACGTACAAATGGAATTACTGTAGCTAGGCAGGCATGCATTTGTACAAAAACATAGCTCGTGATTTCATGAAACACTGAAATGGGGCTCCCGGTGACTACGTAGCCATGCATTGTCAGCGTACCTTCTTTTCAGATCTTCTCGGAACTTTGGCCCGTTGAAAGTGCCGCACTGCAAAAGCCTTGTGTTATTTCGTTTACAGACTGTATGTTTTGTGAGTGAAAATGCAAATGTCATCAAAATTGCAAGCTTTGAGGGGATTAAAATGAAACGGACTGAATGCTTTTTATTGATATTTTGGAATTAAACTCGCAGGAATGTTTGCAAAACATCGATTTTGAATTACAGTTGTTGTGATCCCGGGACGATGCCGGAACTGTTATAAAACGGAACTGTTGCGGTGAGCTGTGCAATGTCTTTGTTCACAATGTTCTGGTACCACCTCGCCGTTACTACCCTGCTCTTGTGTTGTTACATCGACGCAAATGTCGCGCAGACTCCAGATGGTTAGTCCAGTGCAATACGCATTAAAAGAGATGCGGTCCAGCTCGAAACGGTCTTGTCAGTGCTAAATCGCTTCGGACATTATCGTCTCATTGTGCGTTTTTGCTTATATGCAAATGCAAAAACGCATATTGTGACAATCCCCGTGCATCTATGTGTGCGTGTGTGTGCGTCTGTCCGGGTATTTCAACTCGGCACCCATGCAAGCTCCGGCGATAAAATTTTGCCAGTGGGTTCCCCGACTAAGTGTCATGCCAGGATCGCGGTACCAACCCTCATGCAAGGCTGGGTCCCGCGTACGAGAGGGTGAAAGTTTTGGCAGGAAAACCGCAAGCTCGGGAACCAGAAAAGTTAGAAAGCTGAAATTTTGAAGTTATGTTCCTCGTCCACACAGAACTCAAAGATTTCAAATTCAGTTCCCAGGTATGCATGGTACCCGCGTATGGTCCCGTGAGGGTTCCTGGTGCGGAAATCGCTAACTTGGGAATCAGGAAAGATGGGAGGCTGAAATTTTCAGGGAATGTTCCCAGCACATGTAAAATTTAAAGATGTCAAATTCAGCTCCCAGAAACGTGTGATTCTCATGTGCGGACCCGTGAAATTTTTTGGCAGAAAAACTGCTAACCCAAGAACGAGATAAGTTGGAAAGCTGGAATTTTAACGGAATGTTCCCTGTCCGAGTACCGCGTGGACAATTAACTTCCCGAACTTCGAAGACCAGTACCAGGTTTTGAGCGATCTCATTACAGTACGAAATACTGCAAAAACGCATGATCGCACGTGCCTGTCCGGTGCGCGTCGCCAATGATTTTTGCGTGTCTGCGGTCATGTCCTGTTTGGAATAATCAGCAGACCAATTAGCTTAATAATGGATTTTGCATAATCAGTAGTACATAACTAATTTTTCAACCCGTCCATCCAACACTAAAAATGTCAAACTACGCGCGTATCCATGCGTCATAGTTCTAGTGATGTACAAAAATAAAAAAAAAATCAGTTTTTGGAAGAACATTATCTTTTCTTCTGCTTTACAAAATCTTTCTTGTCTCCAATTCAGCAACTCGGTTACATTACGTTTTAAACCGTTTAAAAAAAATTATGCCAAGTTTTGAAATGTTTCAAAATTTTAGGGTCTTTTAAATTTTCAGTACTGAAATGCCATCTTTCCGAAGCAAACTTACTTATCCATCTATCGCATGAAGTTTGCAGGCGACAGTTCCGCTCCTCAAAGAGCTCTTATTACGCCACTAATAAGAGCTTTTTGAGGAGTGGAATTATCGACTCGTGTTTTTCCAAATTTTCTGGCATCATGAAAGAACACTTTTGACGGGAGTATCGTCTCTAAAGATTGCTACTTAGCAGTAACAATAATCCTGAACGTTTCGTGATAATCTATTGTTAGGGAGAAGTTTGACTGTGACTGCTACCTCCCAACATACACAATTATTCTTGAATTCAGGAAACCAACAACGAAGCACAGACTCCATGATGACAGTAATCAGCAAAATGCGTGACTGGGTTAAACGCGCGGCTGACCCTCAGACAATTGCCCAAATACAAGCGGGCCAGCTTGCAGCTATTGCAAATGAAAAAAGGAGACTAGCGGCGGAAGAAAAAGAACTTGCGCAACTCAGAGCAGCTAGAGCCAAAGCCAAAACAACACCTCCACCTCCTCCTCCCCCACCTCCTCCACCTTCTCCTCCTGTAGCTGCTCCTCCTCCGCCCCCACCTCCTCCACCTCCTCCTGCAGCCGGTACTTCTCCGCCCCCACCTCCGCCTCCTCCTATAGCCGGTACTCC